TCCACAAGTCTGTTTGTTAAAAGAATGCCAGGAAACTTTGAGAGACATTGTAAAAGTTTCACGGGAGAAAAACAGGTTTTCCTAGTTTTCTTATTTACCATTGTCCAAGATCAGAGAACCACGACCCAATGACTCTACAGGTGGTGAGAGAGATAGGAGTCACTATTTACATCTGTGATGTTTGCAGTGGGCTGGTGGGCTTGATTTCTGCTGAAGTTGCCCTGCTTTCTTGATACCATCTGATAAGAAGAGGGCTTTCATGTACTCTTTGATGTATGGGATTGGTGAGCGGAAATGGGGGACTTATAAATTCGCCTGTAGCTTTTATGAGTCATTTAAAGTCACTTCTTGTCACCAGAGGTTAAAATCAGAAAGACAATAGCCAGAATAACTAAGCTGCTTTCCTACATGAATAAAAGCCCTACTTCTTTCCTTTGTGATTGTCGAACAGTGTCAGAGGAATAAACTGCTTTTCATCCCCCAGGCTGTCTCCTTTTCTTTCTTTAAAGGTCGATCTCTCCAGGGTCTCAGGTCTCCCTTTAGAGAGACCACCCACACACAGCAATTAGAAAAGAGATAGAAATAAAAGGAATAAAGATAGGAAAGGAAGAAGGTAAACTGTCATTATTTGCTGATGATATGATACTTTACATAGAAGACTCAAAAAACTCTGCCAAAAGACTTTTAGACTTAATTGATAGATTCAGTAGAGTAGCTGGATACAAGGTCAACACTCAAAAAACAATAGCCTTCTTGTACACAAATAATAGACTCACTGAAAGAGGAATTAGGGAAACAATTCCTTTCATAATAGCATCCAAAAAAGAAAATTTAGGAATCCATCTAACAAAGGAAGCAAAAGACCTCTACATTAAGAACTACAGCACTCTGAAAAAAGAGATCAAAGAGGATATAAGAAAATGGAAAGAAATCCCTTGCTCCTGGGTAGGAAAAACCAATACAGTGAAAATGGCCATGCTTTCAAAACTGCTATACAGATTAAATGCAATCCTGATTGAAATCCCAACAGCATATTTCACAGAACTAGAGAAAACAATCCAAAAATTCATCTGCAACCAGAAGAAACCTAGAAGAGCAAAAGCAATTCTAGGCAACACAGTCATGGCAGGGGGTATCAAAATTCCCAACTTGAAACTGTACTACAAAGCAACTGTGATAAAAACAGCATGGTACTGGCAAAGAAACATACTCGAGGATCAGTGGAATAGATTAGAAGATGCAGAAACAACTCCAGACATACTCAGCTACCTCATCTTTGACAAAGGAGCAAGCCAACCATCCTCACTGGAGGAAAGATAGTCTCTTTAATAAATGGTGTTGGAAAACCTGGATTTCAGCCTGCCAAAAATTATAACTATAACCCTATCTTTCGCCATGCACTAAACTAAAATCGAAGTGGATTAAAGATCTAAATATTAAAACAGAAAAACCAAACTTGCTGGAAGATAAGTTAGGTAGAACTCCCAAAGACACTGACATGTAGTATGGGAATAGCACAAAGAATCAAAATCTGGGATCTCATCTTATTAAAAAGCTTCTGCACTACAAGAGAAACCACCAACAGAGCTAACAGACAACCTACAATGTGGGAAAAATTTTTACCAGCTGTTCCTCAGACAAAGGTCTACTATCTAGAATATATAAAGAACTAAAAAAAATGAGACCCCCCCAAATATAAAGACCCAGTTCAAAAGTTGGCATCTCAAATGAACAGACTCATTTCTCAGACAAATAAAAGCAGCAAATAAACATATGAAAAAAATGTTCAACATCACCGGTCATTTGAGAGATGCAGATGAAAACAACTCTGAGATTCCACCTTACCCCAGAAAGAATGGGTGCTATCAAGATATCATCCAATAACAAATGCTGGCAGGATTGTGGGGAGAAAGGAACACTTCTTCATTGTTGATGGGAGTGCAGACTGGTGCAACCACTGTGGAAATCAGTATGGAGATACCTCAGAGAACTAGGACTAGAGGTCCTATTTGGCCCAGCTATTCCTCTGCTGGGTATCTTCCCAAAAGAATTAAAAGAATCATACCACAGTGATATATGCACACCCATGTTTATTCTAGCATAGTTTGTAATAGCTAAAACTTGGAAACAGCCCAATTGCCCATCAAATGGAGTCTGGATAGAGAAAATGCGGGTTTTTAAAAAATAAAATGGATTACTACTCAGCCATAAAGAATGAGAAACCAGAGATATTTATAGCTAAGTGGATGCACATTGAGGCCATACTCTTAAATGAAACAAATAGAACACACATGTGTAAGTACCGAATAGTTTCTCTGGTGTAAAAAACTAAAAAGTGTAAAAATAAAAATGTATAATTGATTTTGTGAAATAGGAAGAAAATGTTTAAAGGAATAGGGGAAGTGGGAGGGGAAGGGGAAAGGAGGGAAAAGAAAAAATATGAGAAAAGGTAAAACATGGAAACAAAGTCTTTGTAAATAGGGAAGGGTGGAGGGGGTGAAGGGAGCACAGGGAATGGGGCAAAAATAAGAACCAAGATACATTATGTAAAGGTACAAGATCCCAATGATGAATGTAATTATATTGTATACCTCAAATGTACCAATAAACTAAATGAAAAAAAAAAAGAAGAGCTCTTAAATATCAAGAGAAAAGGCAAAAACCCAATTGGTCAAAAGAGGAATGGAGAGTGCACAGAAAAAGGAATGTAACATTTTTTAAAAAGAAAAGAACATTTTGAAAAGATATTTAACTTCACAGACAGAAAGAGAAATGCAAACCAGTATTTCTATCTATCGATCTCAGAATTCCAAAAATTCCTAAATTTGGCCACAATCCCTGCTGATGAGTCTATGGAATAACATGCATTTGCTGGTCCAACTGCTAAATGGTGTAAATGAGGAATTTGGTAAAATCTATCAAAATGGAAATCTGGCAATATGTACCAACTACTAGTGTACTCTCCTTTGACTAAGCAATCCCACTCCCAGAAATTACCCCTAAAGTGCACCTCTCCAAAAAGAAATATATACTTTCCTCATAGCACAGACACAACACCCTATACATACAACTTCAAGGAATTTATTTTGGCTCACATTTTTGGTCTATAGTGGACTGGCTCCAAGGCAGGAAGGACATGATGAAAATGTCTGGCAGAAGAAAGGTGCTCACATCATAGCAGCCAGGAGGCAGAGAAGGCAGAGAAGGGAGGAGTCAGGGAGGGATTTACACCCTTCCTTGTGATGGCCCTAGTAACCCATCTCTTCCAACCAGACCCCAATTCCTAACAGAAACTCAGCTACAGCAGCACTCCCACAATCCAATCACCTTTCAAACGCCTTGAGGCTTTGGGGGACAATTTAGATCCAAACTTAATACATACACAAAGCTGTGTACCTATAGAATTTATAAGAACAAGATATTGGAAATGGCCTAAATGCTCACCCGCAGGGCACTGATTGAATGAACTACAGTCCAAGTCCATACACACAAACTGATTACTAATCATAAATGAAGGATGAAAATATCCAGTAATGACATGAAAGAACCTACAGGATATTTTATTTAGTAAACACATTCATTTCATTCTTAAAATACATAGATTGAGAAATGCAGAGAACTAAAATTCATGGCTATGTACATGTTTTTACATGGTTTAGGTTCTATTGGGGGGGTGAAGAGAGACTGTAATAAAAGCCACAACCCAACAAAAACACTCATATTTAAAGAAACAAGGAAAGTCAGACTGTTTTATATATTTTTAAAATTAAATTTTAAAAAGTCCAAAGGTGTCTAGGATATCCTAGCACACTGGATAATGTGAAGAACTATTCTAGACAAAATACCTAAAAAGTTAGCTGAATATAAAACTCTGTCCATAAAATGTAAGCATAGAATGAAAATACTCAGATAGGAAGTATATGCTACATATAAGCCTACAAGCAGTTAGTATCCAGGATTCAAAAAAGATAATATGGCAAATTCAGCTGTAGATAGATACAGATATAGAAAAGACACATGCCATAAAGAAAACCAGACTTACTGAAAGAAACACGGGCAAAAGACATGAAATATATTTCACAGATGAAATACAGACAGCCAATTAACATAATTAGTATTGAGAAAAATATAAATTAAAACTACAATGAGATATCAGATTACCAACAATGATAGAGAACTGGCATTGCAGTGGTGAAACAATGCGACTGAGACTATCTTTTGCCGGTGGCAGGTTAAACAGACATAAATATTTTAGAAAATAATTTTGCATATTAAAAAAGGTATAGATGTGCCTATTATATGAACTAGCAATTCTATTCCTAGAAATATTACTCTAGAGGAACTTTGTAAATGTGTAACAGAAGAACAATCAAGAGCAGCAAAGAGAGAAATACTTGAAACAATTAAACATCTACTGCCAGAAGATCATTGGCAAAAATTTTGGCATATTCACAAACCAGAATGCTATATAGCACTAAAAAAATAGTGTATCAGAGGGGATGAACCTCAAAATATAATACTAGATGAAAAACACAAAGTTGCAGCAAACATATAAAGTTCCTTCAATATGTAGAAAGTTTAAAATGAAGCAACGGAAAGTCTGTGTGTGATTACATCACATACATACAGAAACAAAAACAAATTCAGGATAATAGTTACCTCTAGGGGGCAAGATAGGAAGTGAAATTAAGGATATTTTCAAAAGTACAGTATTCATATTATTCCTTAACCTACATAGTTGAGTACAAGGGTATTTGTTTCATTAAAGTATACATTTACACTATGTGTATTCATCATATATATGTTGTGAAAAATATAAAGTACTTTTTAAAAGCCAATTGCATTACTAGTATAAACTAGGATATCTAGAAAATACTTACTTGCTGGTAAAAAAAATTTTAAACTCAGAATTGATTTCTATTTAGTTGTTAGTTTTCTAAAAACATAAAATTCACTTGTACAGTTATACTGACAGATTTTCTTAGTAAATGTTGGCCTGCCTTTTAAAGAACATGTTCCTCCTTCCATCAGAATCTAGAAGAAAATAAAACATTAATAATTTCCAAGTGTACATGATAATATCCACTCATAATTGCTCTCTCAATACTATCAGTCGATTTTATAATATTCTTCCTTTATATTCCTTTAATTCAACAAAGATGATTTCACAAAGAAAAATTAGCCTGAGAACTATAAAATGAAATTTAAATTGGTTTAGAAACAGCAAGCAACAAAATAGACACTTCCTAAGAAATAAATTACTGACACAAATAAAAGGAAGCAAGTAACTATGGTAAATGCACATGAAAAAAGACAAGATCCTAGAGCACTTTGTTCTTATTCTTTCTGATTTCTAAAGCTGCGGTCATTGCTTACGTTTTTTTTAAAATTAGTAAAAGCTTAGCAGTATGACTTTTCTACACAATACAAACATCGGTTTTGATTTTCATCACACATTTCATAACTTGTAATTTATTTTTATTTCCTTTTTAAAAAAAATAATCCAGAGTATTTTTCAATTTCCAGGAAGTTAAAGGAAGTTAAGCAGCATGTTTTGGTCAACTTCAAATTTTCTGAATTTTAATTAGAAAATGTAGATATGAACCACTCCTTTGCTAATTTTTTAGATTTTTTAATGACCTACCACATAAATTATATTTGCAAATACATCATGGATTTAAAGAAAAAGTTTTCTATGTATTCTCCATTGGTAGGATACTGAGTTAATTCAGATAAGATAAAGGACAAACCTGATTCTTCTTGCACACACAGCTAGATTAACTTCCTAGCCTCAACTGCAGTTGGTCTGGACATGTAATTTAATTTCTGATTATGGGAAGACAGTAACATACATTACTTCCAATGGAGGCCCACAAAAATTTGTTTGGCAGTTCACTTCCAATTCCCTTTGGTTATCTGATATCAACATCCATAACAAATACAGAAACCACCACTCAAAGGTAATGAGTCTCTGAATAGCTCCATGGAGCAGAGCCTCTTCTGTAACCCCACTACTTCTTGATTTAAAAGTCCACTGTTCTTCTCTTGAGATTTTCAAGCCTTAAACTTGCACCACAAAAAAAAATCAATAAATCAGAGTTGGTTTTTTGAAAGAATAAATAAAATCGATAAACCTTTAGCCAACCTTATCAAAAAAAGGAAAGAAAGGGCTCAACACCATGCAATTAAAAATGAAAAAGGTGAAGCACAACAGATCCAGCAGAAATCCAGAGGATCATCAATACCTACTTCGAGAACCT